ACAAAGTGAGCTCAAGGCCAGCCTGAACTGCATAGCAAGACCCTGTCTCAAAGAGACAAAGAAAAAAAAAGATTCCCATATCCTGCATCAGTTGTGGACCATACGGCCACAAAGGAAGGATACCACCTAACTTAACTCTCTGAAACCCACAGTCATTCTCTACGATCCTTCTGGCTTTTTTTTTTTTTTTCTTTTCCAGCAACATAGTTCAGCTAAAAGGACTGAGCTGGGCAGATCATTTCTTCATGCCCCTCTGCAAGTCTTTATGGTGCTCGGTATTCAGCACCCTGCATGGAGCAGACAGATTTACTGGTTCCAGGTTGCTCCCCAGCACATCGCAGCCTTTGCAGTCTGCACTCTCGGGAAATTCTCTGATGGTAGTGTGCAGGGCGTGCAGGGCGCCCTCACCTACTGTAAGCTTCGTCTTCTTTACCTGTGAACATCTCAAGATCTGGGTTCACCAACGCTGTCTGTTAGGTGAGTCTCAAAGTGATTTGAGATAAACTTATGATTTCAGCAGTCTTTTTGGCAGTTTTAGTCAGACCCTTATGAAGAAGGACCTCTTTTTATAACTTCCTGCTCTCACTGGCTTTTGGTAGGACTAACACCAGTGATCCATCACAATACTCACAGCTCTCCTGATCATCTCACACTCCTCCCCTCTTGTGTTTGTGAGAGTTTCTCTGAAGGCAGTGCTGATCAATCACTATCCAGAATGGATTTCCACTATCCATTATTTCCACTATTCCAGAATGATGGTCCAGTTGTTGATCTGATCTGGTCCCATGGTGGAGAGGAGTAACTGACACTTACGTACTTGTCAGTGTCACTGGCTGTGGTGGTGCACACCTGTGATCCCAGCTTTCTGGAGGCTGAGGCAGGAGGATCATTGCAAGTTCAAGGCCAGCCTGAACTACATAGAGAGAAACTCTCTTAAAAAAAAAAAAATAGTTGAACTGGGCGTGGTGGCTCACGCCTGTAATCCCAGCACTCGAGAGGCTCAGGCAGAAGGATCATTTCGAGTTCGAGACCAGCCTGGGCTACAAAGTGAGCTCAGGTCAGCCTGAACTGCATAGGGAGACCCGGTCTCAAAAGGACAAAAAAAAAAAAAAGTCATTGTCACAGTTCCTATAGTCACACTTGAGCAACAAAGAGGTCTAGAAGTAATAGTTAGTTCTCAGGCCTAACAAAGCCAACAACAGCAAAAACTTAGAATCGCTGCACATTACAAATTCCCTTTTATTAGTCTCATCCTCTCCAAAACTTTTTTTGTGGTACCAGGAACTGAAGTCATGACCTCACGACCTCACACGAGCCAAGTGCTGCTGAACTAAATCCCTGGCCCAACAAAACTTTGTTAACTTACTTGAACTTTCTGGTTTTGTCTCTGTCCACCACCACCCCATCCTAGTGGGGCAAAAATCCGATCATATGAAATCCTTCCATACCAAAATATGTCATCATCACTACAATTTCCTCTTTGTCTTTTTCTCTGTTTACTAACTGGTTCCCTTCTCTAACAAGCCTGCTAGGGAAAATCTTACACAAAAGTTTTCCTTACTCAAAATATACCCTCACACCTTTAACTTTTGATAGGTGTTTTTTTCTATCCTACCCTCTCCCTTCTGTGACAAGCCTCCTAGCTACTTGGAATTTAAAGTGCTCTTGCTTGGCATAACCACCTGCCTGGCAAATGAAAGCTCCTGAGTTCAGTTCTCAGTACCAATGAAATGCTCCCGCCATATATTTTTCCCCTTCAGGCCCAGAGTTAACTCACAGATATTTATATTCCAATTAGGGCTGACTGGACAGCAAACTTTCAGGTAACCTTGAATAGCAAAATAATCTTAGTATGAGCAGAAAACAGAAACAAGAACAAGTTAACCCTGAAATTGTAGTTTAAGAACTATCCCAGAAAGCCAGGCGTGGTGGCACACTCCTGTAACTCCAGCACTCGGGAGGCTGAGGCAGGAGGATCCTTGCAAGTTCGAGACAAGCCCGAGCTACAAAGTGAGCCTAAGGCCAATCTGAACTGCATAGTGAGATCCTGTCTCAAAAAGACAAAATAAATAAATAAATATTTTAAAAGAATTGTCCCAAAGCCACTCACAAGAAATGTTTTAGATATGCCAGTTAGACAAAAATATCAGTTTCAGATTGGCTTTTTTTGAAGAACTGGCTGTGGGTAGGTTCCCAAGTCCCTTGGAGAAGGGTGGTTCTGACCTGAGGATTATGAGAAGTCCCAGTTGTGCAGGGTCCCAGTTGGTCCCCTGAGAGACATGCAGTGATGTAAATGGGGGGTGGGGGGACGGTCATCAACGCCATCAACATCTAGTTTGGGAGGCTTTCTAAAGTCAGTGTCTCTTGGGCCCTTACAGAGGGGTGGTTTTTAATAGCCATAAAACACTGCACATAGCCAGGTGTGGTGGTGCACGCCTGTAATCCCAGCACTTGGGAGGCTGAGGCAAGAGGATCACTGTGAGTTCAAGGCCAGCCTAGGCTACATATTGAATTGAGTCAGCCTGAACTGCACATAAGCAACTGCACCTAAGACCATTTTCCTTGCCTTGTGCAAAAGTGATCCAATTGGGCCAGGGATTTAGCTCAGCGGCATAAGCACCTACCTGGCAAGCGCGAGGTTGTGAGTTCAATCCTCGGTACCACAAAAAAAAAAAGTGATCTAATTGGAGAACAGTGCTATCACTAGGTTACTGTTTTCTGGCCATTGTCCCTTATCCCCTGGTTTATAATTGGACCCAACCCATACTGCAATAGCAAATAATCTGTTTCTTTCTTCGCTTATCAGGGTCAAATTGTTTCCATATTGTACAAAGGATACAGCCTAATTGTGAGGTCAGTGGGATCAACAAGGCATTTCTCATGGGGTTTTGTGGGTTCTATAAAAAGGAGAGAAAGAATTAAGTCTGGGGGCCCCCCTGAGGGTATCTGCATGAGGGGATGGGGACCTGCTGAGCTCTGGGATGTATTCGTAGATGTTCAAGTTTCCCACCCCTGAGCCCCGGGGTGTCCTCCTAATGGCTCCTACCAGAGGTCTCTGGTGAAGCATGTGGTCCCAGTACCTGCAACCAACCGGCCTCTCATGACCCAAGACCACAGATGATGCCCTTCAGTCCGAGGCCAAGAGCCCCAGCCGCTGCATCCCTCCAGTTTAGAAACTGGAGTTCATCTCAGCTTCCCTGAAAATATAAAACCTTTGCTATTTCTTGGCCAACCAAAGAAAGAAGACCAGGAAGGGCAGAGCCTGTGCTTCTGTGATAACTGGAAATCAGCCTCACGAGAACCCAGAAACAAAAGCCTTTATCTAAAAAAAGACCTTTGTCTGAAAAAAAAAAAAAAAAGTCTGCATGTACAAGAAGATAAGAGAGCAATTTGGCAGGCAGGATTCATAGAAGGAAAAGAGTTAAAACAACAGGAAAAAATGTGATGCATAAGATGTGATCAAGGTTGGGCATGTTGGCATTCATCTGTGATTCCAAAACTTGAGAGGCTGAGGCAGGAGGATTACCACAAGTTTGAGGCCAGCTAAGGCTATCCAGAGAGTTCAAGACCAACCTGAACTACTTAGTGAGACTCTGTTTCAAACACAAAATAAACAAACAAAAAAACAGTCACCGAGGATAGAAACCAAAAACATGCAAGGATATCTGAAAAAATATATTTATGTTTTTATCACCGATAACTATTCAGAAGGGAGACAAAAGATTACAAATGAGATACTCAAGACTGAGACCAGGCAAAATATTTGGAGCACAGGAAAAGATTATACCAGGACATGTATCTTTTTTTTTTTTCTTTTTTCTTTTTATCAGTACCGGGGATCGAACTCACGACCACCTGCTTGCAAGGCAGGTGCTTATGCTGCTGAGCTAAATCCCCAGTCCCTATTTACCTTTTTATTGCACAAATATAAAACATAAACCTGTCAGACACAGGAAAATCATCTTGCACCCCGCTGCATGCCAGGATCCACCCACTGGAGCCTTCGGGTTGTAGGGGCTCTGCTGACACCTAACTGTTCAACCCCTGCCTGGAGAGGGCAAGCAGACAGCTGAACCAATGGGACAACAGAGTATGGGGTCTCCTTACCTCCCGGCTGGCTCACCACTCCACAGCAAGCCTCAGATGGAGGGTCTTGGGGGAGCCTTTTCCAGGTTCCTGGCGTGCTGAACAAAGAAGGGATCCAGACATTCAGCCAGAGTCACAAAAGTAAGATTTATCGAAAACAAAAGAAACAAAAATATGCTCCCCAGGATGGAAGCAGGCCAGTGAGAAGTGCTCAAGACTCCGCCGGGGGCAGGGATTGGATCTCTCAAAGCAAGAGTCCCCAACCCCAGGCCACAGAGACCTTGGTCCTCGACCTGTTTAGCAATCGGGCTGCCTAGCAGGAGGTGAGCGGCAGGTGAGCCGCATTGCTTCATGGGTATTGATAGCCGCACCCCATCTGTTCTGAGCCAGCATCTTATCTGATCGGCAGCAGCATCCCGAGTATCCTAGGGGTGCAAACTACTGCAAACAGCGGGAGTTTAGCTCAGTGGTACAGGTGCCTGCCTTTGATCCCTGGTACCAATAAATAAATACATACACACATACAAACACACTACAGATTCAGTGTGCAAGGGATGGAGGTTGCATACTCCTTTGAATCATCTAAAAAAAACACCTTTCTCCTCCCCATCTCCTCCTCTCCCATGTCTTTGGCATCATTTTCTTCCATGAAACCAGTCCCTGGTACCAGAAAGTTTGGGGATCATTGTCTTAAGGTCCCGGGTTCATAGGACGTTCTATAGCTGGGGGTGGCCAGGAGTCATGGGTTGATGGGGTACCCGACTCAGCACACCCACGAGGAGGGGGAGTTTTTGACGTACAGGATTTTTAGAGGAAGTGTCATGGCGTCCAAAGGGGCCGTGGTCAAAACTGCAATGCAAATGAGGTCAGCTGCAGGCCAGGGTTCGGTGCGTGCCCGGGGTTCTGGGGGCACAGGATGACTTCTATCTGTCGATTTCGTGGTGTTTTGCTATAGTCATGGTCGCTGTCTTGTTTTTCAATACTTCCCCAGCAGCTTTCTGTTGGCTCACCATTTCTTCCTCTGCTACCTCCTCCTCTGATGGGAGAGAAAGATAAGACTTGGAGGGGAACTGGATCAACAGCAACAGGCTTCACAAAAGAAGCCCTCAGACAGGACAGAAGTAAGGGACCAGGGAGGCGTTCTGTGAGCCTGGGAGAGCGGCGGCCTGATACAGCGAAAGAACAAGATGTGAAATCAGACCCACGTGCAAGGATCAGCTCTCCTTGGCTTAGCTGCATGACCCTGGGTAAGTTGTCTCTTTCTCTACGCTACAATGAAAAAGCAAGGTTTGGAGCCAGATGTGAGGACTTACGTTTGCAATCCCAGCACTCTGGGCAGCTCAGGCAGGAGGATTCTAAATTCCCAGCCTTGATACCTTAGCAATGTACCAAGACTGTCTCAAAACAGAAAGCAAAAAAGGGTTAAGGGTGTACCCCCTGCCAAGGCCTTAGGTTCAGTCCCACCTCGATCCCAGGCACAAAAACAAAACAAAACACATTCAGAAATGATATCCAGCCTCCTCTCTAGCTGGGTAATCCATGATCATAATTTACATGTCAACAAAGTTCATTTGTAGGCGGAGCATTGTTGTTTTTGAGTCAGAAAGTGACTCTATGTTTATATCACGCTTTCCTTCAGCAATTTCATTTTTGTCTTCCAGTGCTATTTTAGGTTGTTCCCTTCAGTAAGTTCTAACCTCTCTCTTCCACACTTGAGCTGAAAAGGGAAGAGCTTTGACTCCTGCCTGAGCAAAAGGATGGCTGTAAGTAGGTTGAGCAATTGTCCCGGTTTGCCCAAGCTCGTGGGGCTTCCCAGGACAAGGGACTTTCAGTCCTGGGCAAACTGGGATGGTTTGATAACCCTAGCGGTGAGGAAGGTGAAGGTCTAGAGGCGGCTTGGAAGAGACATGGCTGGAAATGTGCTTATCTCGTCCCCTTTCTCCAGGGAGTTTCCCTTGTCAGGAGTGGTTTTTGTCCCAAGACATGGTCCCCTGAGGAGGCCTAAGTGAAGGGCTGCCTTCACACAAGGCTGGAGCCCCATTTGAGACTACAGTTGCCAGGAAAGGCACAGAAATGCTTGACTAGCTCTGATGCTATGGGGGATTTTCCCTTTTTCTTCAAAAAAAAAAAAAACAGAAAAGACCCAGTGGAAAAAAAAAAAAATGATGACTTGCGAGGTAGGCAGCAGGCTGTCCTCAGTGGCAGGAGACAGTTGCGCATCTCATTTGTTTAAATCGGCAGCTGACGCCTGCCGCCTCTCTATAGGTGCCAGTCGCACCACAGAAGCTCTCGGCACCACAGTGACCAGTCTGGGGACTCACAGCTGCAGTGATGAGCTACCCCCTCACCCTGGACATGGAACTCATGAACTACAACCTGGAGGATCTGGTGAGTAGGACCGTTGGCCCCCGTTGCCCTGGCCCTGCTTGGAATCTTTAATGCTCTACACCAGGGCCAAAGGGAGAGGGGACAGCCTGGGATCCAGACTTTTTCAGTAGGGAGCGGGTGACTTCTACCTCTTAGGGCTAAAGGGGACTAGACAGATCACTGTAGAGACTGCGCTGTCAGGAGGCTGCCACCGCTAACCAGGGGAGCACACGTAGCTGTTCATCTCTTGCTGTGTGAGCGTAGGGCTCTATTTGGATGGAGAGGTGGAAAGACTTCAACTTTGCCCTCAAATACCCGATGGTCCAACTGAGAAAAAGCTCAAGCAGGAGGAAGTGTGAGACCAGATCATAGTCAAGGAGAGGGTCCCAGTGCACCCAAGCTGGGGATCGGGGGTGCCCAGCTGTTGAGAGTGTCGTGTGTTGATACTGGAAATGTCTTAGCGCAAGTGGCAGCTCCGCAAAGAACTGAGTCTCTAGTGATAAGGAAGGGGGTTTCTTGGACTGACCAAAAACAGGCCTCAGCGCCACTCTCTGCCACCCAGCAAGGCTTTTGTGAAGCGTAGTGCTTCGGTTGACTTGGTTGTCACTGGACTCCCTAAGGGTACGTGTGGGGAGTGGCCGAACCAAGGAACCCCAGGTCTCCCTTGTGCAGGCAGCAGAGGGCTGCTAGGGAGCTTTTATTGAAAACTTTGTCATGGTCCTCTGTTCTCATCGGCGAAAGGACTTCTGTCTGAGCTGCATTCTGAGCTGTCTCGTGGAGGATCCACACCCTGGCTCCTAACAGCTCTCCCGAGGCTAAACTCACCCCGAGATGTCGTCCACCCCCCTGCAGCTCCCAGAGACAGGGTCTGCTTTATAACTCCAAAACCATCTTCCCACTTGCTTAGAGTAGCCTGGCCCCGACCCAGGCCCCAGCTGTGGAAGGGTCAGGGGAACACAGGCAGAAGCTGAGAAAGGGCTCATTTCACCGAATCTGGCCTCTTAGACTCAACCTCAGTTAAAATCAGACTGATGATCTTAGCAGTTGTTCATCAGAACCTGAGGCATGGTTTGTGGGTCCAGCCCAAAATGAAAATACAGAGTCCCTCGTTCACAAGAGTATTAAGAATTCCAAGATGGCCCTGGAAGAGCATCAAACCCAGTGTGAAGTCCTTGGAAATGCAGCCCTGGTGTGACTGTCCAAACAGCACATCCACCAAATCAGCCCTGGGTCTGATCACAGATTCTGCCCCGTACCCCAGATCAGATTAAAACCTCTCTGCCTTAAAAAGCAACACCTTCCCTCCCTGATCCCTTGTCCCTACCTCTGGCCACACCTGGCTAGGTTACTGGGCATCATCTGCCCCCAGCTTCAAACTGACCACGAGCCCTGACCCACTTGGATGTCTTAGTAACCACTGGGAGACCTGGCCATTCCTAGCTTCTGAGAAACCTCAAGAGTTTCCATTCAGTGCACACCTCGCCTAGCGGTGTGACCTACTAGAGACAGGTGGTGGCAGGGGTAGGGGGTAGCAGGACATGTTCTGTGTCATGAAGAAAACCTACATCCCAGAGAGACCTGCTAACTTGCTTCATGTCAAACCTCAAACCAGGGCCCCTGCTGGGCACCGAAATGTACCCAAGCTCCTCAGTCAGCCTCTCGCCAGGTGGCCAGAAGTGCTGGGACCTTCCTTTAACGGGCCATCAGTGTTATACCTACCTTCCATGCATCCTCTTCCCAGGCTATTCCCTTCCACCCTGCCCACTCCCCTTGGGGCCAGGAGCAGCTGGTAGACTGCCCTAGTGTCAACCCTGGGATGGCAGAAGAGTCCTCCCTGCAGTGGCTTCCTAATAAGTTTGTGTGTTCTTAGGGCATTTTGTTTCATTCTGTTTGGTGCCAGGGATGGAACCCAGGGCCTCGTGTGTGCTGGGCATTTTTTTTTTTTTTTACGTGCTGGGCAATTGCTCTGCCACTGAAATACATCTCCAGCCCCAAAAAGTGTTTCTTTGGCAGGAGGAATTTGAAACAGGGCTTCATTATGTGGTTCAGGCTGGCCTTGAACTTGAGGCTTGCCTCCTGCCTCAGCCTCCTGAGTGCTGGGATTACAGGCGTGCGCCCCCACACCTGGCTCTCCAGTAAGTATTTCTTGACTGGTGGTGCAGTTGAAATCAGCTCACCACTTATCTCTAGAGTCTGTCCAGTTTTTTCCATTCCTTTGGTTCCCTACGCTCCTCCCTGCCTTTATCTAAACCAAGCACTGGTCCCTTTCCCAGATCACCAGATTCTGTACTCCAGCGCTGGGTTTCACGGCTACAAGCCAAGTGTGGGCCATTCTGTGTTCCCTTCCTCCTCTTGAACTCTAAGATGAACTCTGGTGCCTTAAAATACATGCTTTCCTAACATGGGCTGCTAACTCTCGTGAGTAGAGAACTCAAGCAGAAAAATCCCAGATGGGTAAGAACCAGGAAAAAGGAGCCAGGTCCCCAAGTGGGCGCCAGGGAGCCACCCCGCAGGGAAACCAGGTCTGCATAGACCTAGAGAAAACTTGGCCTATGGGAACCATGCTTGGAGAGAGATTCTCTTCCAGACAGAACCGGGGACTAGAATGGGCCCCTACCCTACCCTGGCTTGTCACGCACTGCACCTGCAGTCCCGCTCCGCACACCAGCCTGGAGGAGAAGCTGCTAAAGAGCAGGAGCAAGCGGCACCAAGCTGGGGTAAACCCCAGGCCCAGCTTCCCTGATCCCTTCCCGTTGATGAAGACCTCGGGTGAACAGAGTATCACAGGCTACACAGCCCGGCTCCACGCACACGTTTCATTTCACCAGGGAAGTGTGAAGAAGAGGAAGCAAAACCGGCTCAGGCTGCTTCTGGGGTTCACCTAGGGGAAGGGGAGGATCCCCTCACCCCAGTCAGCTCAAATGTCCCGGAGGAGCCCACCAGAGGAGGAGCCAACTGGGATTTGGCTGCAAGGATCGGGAATGAGGGAGAGAGGCCAGGGTCAGGGGAGCGGGCGTGAGGGAGCCCAGGACATTCACCACAAAGACGCCCTCGGGAGCGCTTGCCTTCCATGGGGACCCAGGCGGCTTGCTCCCCCTCCTCTGGCAGGATGGCCTTTAAAAGTGGCCTTGTGTTTGGAACAGAGAATTAGGCCAGAAGAATGAGCATTCTTCTAGGAAGGATGAGGCAAAATATTTCAGATCAATACTATCCTAGGCGACAGGCTGAGCTAGAAAACATGTCTACACGAGCTTTACCTATTTATTTATCTATTTATTGGGTACTGGGAATTGAACTCAGGACCTCACGCTTGCCAGGCAGGTGCTGTGCCACTGAGCTAAATCCCCAGCCCTGACATGTGCTTTAGACTGCGTGACTGTGTCACCAAAGTGCAAACAAATGTTGGGGTACAAGGTGGGGAATCCCTGTACGCTTAAAAGACTCAGTGTAGAAACGGGGCTCCCTCCCCAAAACCACATGCAGAGTAGTATCATGCTCTTCATGGCCAAAATCCTCAGGCAGAAACAACAGAGGCCTGGCACACTTGCTCCTTGAAGGGATAGAGAGGGAAAGGACAGGACAGATGGCGGCCAGAGTCTCAGATGATCTCTGGGAGTGCAGGGCTTGGGGGGGGGGGGGATGGACACAAGGCACATATCCACGCCTTTGCCTGTAGTCCAATAGCCTTCCTAAAGACCCCACTGAAGGAGGACAGGACATGTCCAGAGGCCCCACCGCAAGCCCCTGCCTTATGGCTGGGAATCCCTACACAGGGATAGATAAGGAGATGGAGCCTGTGTGGCCAGAGCGACACCTGACATCTGTATGTAGCTGCATCACGTGGCCAGCATGACCTGGGCCTGGGGCCTGGGGGCCTGGGGGCCTGCGGTGGGGCCTGTGTGAGTCACTTACCCCCACCTCAGGGTGGGAAACAAGGTCAGGCCTCTGAATGCACTGCTTCCAGGGCAGCAAAGATTCTCAGCTGCTGCGCTAGACAAAGATCATAGACAGCCGGCTCGGCCCTGGAGGACAGGACAGACGGCGAATCAGGGTACTGGACAAGGAGCAAGAGGCATTTGCGGGCGAGCTCACCTCAGCCTTCCTGCTCCCTGGCCCACAGCTCCCATCCGTGAAGTCAGTCCCGTGGACTCCACTTCTCCTACAACCCTAGTACAGGAAAACTTCCTTCCAAATCTGGTTTCTCAAACCCCTCAGCCCAGCGGCCACCTTTGTCCAGTCACCCAAGGCGGGTTGGTGGGAGCGCCCTCTGCAGGCTTCTGCACAGAGAAAGGCACCCGGAGCCCTCCAGCGGCCACCTCACTCTGGTGACTCATCTCCTGCTTTCAGTCAACAAACTCTCAAGTCTTATTTCTCATGACTGCATCACCAGGTCTTTCCCATCTCGTCCCTGACCAGTTAGACTCCAGTCCAGGTCTCTATTTTTCCCTATGTGAATCTGTCTGGTTAGTTTGAGCCCCTAGTTCTAGCTGATAGAGAACTCTGTGTTGTCTTCACACTGAGCTACAGCCCCAGCCTTTTTTATATTTAATTTTGAGAGAGTCCCATGAAGTCACTGAGTTGTCCAGGCTGGGCTCAAACTTGTGATCCTCTTGTTTCAGCCTTCATCACCACACCAGGGTCAGCCCTGTTTGGTCTGAAAGTGTCTCCCAGGCACATCCCCCAGCCAAGGCAGGGCTGAGTGCTAAGAAGGAGGGACCCAGAGCGGATCCCTGAGGAATGCCCCAGACGCCCCCACACACACTTGCTGCCGCTCCATAGATGCCCCTGGAGCCTCCTCACTGGAGGAGTCCCATGGGGCGTGGTGACCTCAGTGGTCTAGGGAGGGGCTCCAGGCCTAAGTGGAGGGAAGGAAAAGAACCTTTGTAGAATACACTGTGGGCTGAGAACCTGGCTTCTCTGTCCCTCCTTTCCCTCCCCCTGCAAGGCCCAGGATGCTGAGCTCTGCCCTACCCCCTGCCCCAGGGCTGGAAGCTCTCTGCTCCTGCTTGGCTCCAGTTACATGTTTTCTGGCCTCTGGGACATGAATCCCTGGCCTATGCATTGGTGGTGGTCTGCTGGGTACCTGCTGATAGCACGTACTGGTGTGGCTCTTCTGGTGTATGCAGGTCCGTGTCTACAGGTGTCATTAGAGTTGTACACAGGAGGTCTTTGGGTTTACGTTTTGTGTGTGTGTGTGTGTGTGTGTGTGTGTGTGTGTGTGTGTGTCTGTGTGTGAACTGAACCCAGAGATGCCCTACCGCTGAGCTACATGCTCAGACCTTTTGTATTTTGGGTTTTTTGGGACAGGATCTTGCTAAATTGACGGAGCTGGGCTAGAACTTGTGGCCCTCCTGCCTCAGCCTCTTGTGTAGCTGGGATTACAGGCCTGTACCACCACATCCAGCTCAATTGCTTTTTGTGGCAAGGAGGAACGGCCCTCTCATTCCAGTGCCTGCAGCATGCTCCCTCTGGTGTGAGCCTCCGACCCTTCAGTGCCCCATGACCTGACTCCCCTCCGGCCCTCCAGGCCAGGACCAGTCTCATTGTATTACCTTTCACCCCATGGTTTGCAGGTGGAGAGAGCCAGAAACCCTAACCGTGGGAAGTGGCTTTGACATATGCCACTCCTGAACTAAGGTGTCTGTTTGACACCTCTTTTAATGTATATTGCAACTCCCAGCAACAGGCTTCCTCCCGTCCGCCCCTCTCTGAGCGCTGTGCTAACCCAATGCCTCTTGCCAGGAGGAAGAAACAACCCCCTCCCCTAAACCTGAGTTATAAGGGGAGAAAAGAAGCAGGATATACCAAGGACAGGCACAAATTCCCCGTGATGAATGTAATCATTATGTATAGCTAAAAAGTACCACTAACATTTTTTAAAATACAAAATAAAAAACCACCCTGCGTGTTGGGAGATGGGGTCCCCAGAGAGGTCCCACTATGATGGCTTTAAGTAGACAAGAAGCCAATCAGCATACATGCTTTGATTTTGGGTTTTTTGTTTTTCAGAATTTGATTTTATTGTTTGGTTTGGTTTTGGTTTTTTTTTGTCCTTTGGTGTTTTGGTTTTGGTTTGGTTTTTCAAGACAGGGTCTTGCTATGTGGATCAGATTAGCCCCAGACTCATGGCAGTCCTCCTCCCTCAGCCTCCTGGGTGCTGGGTTATAAGTGTTCAACATCATGCTCAGTCTGAGTGCTTCGGAGGATGACAACTTGAGCGGTCTTGTGGGAAGGCCTTTGGGCCACCGAAGGCTTCCCGTGGGCCGTGGAGCAGGAGGCTCCAGCCTCTGCCGGGCCCTGCACCCCTCCTCTTCTGTCTGAAGCCTGTGCTCTGCAGGGGGACTGCGTGCCTCAGTGGCTCCTTTATGTCCTGCTGAATGGCAGTAGAATCACATGGCGGGGCTGGATGGCTCTTAGAAGTAGCTCCCTTTTCAGAGCGTGATCACAAGATGAGCAACAGCGGTAGGAACTGCAGATACAAATGGGGTCTGTGTCCTGCTGAGCCCAGAAAAGCTGTGATTCTAAGTGGGAAGACGGTGGATTTGAGTTGGTCCTTGAAGGAAGGGCAGGACTGAAGAGGCACACTTGAGAAAAGTCTGGTGAGCCAAGGGAAGAGCTTGATCGAAGGCTGGGTGACAGGGATGTGTCCCGAGAAGCTGGCAGGATGGTACTCCTGGTCTACCTGGAGGACAGGGTGCCTCAAGCAATCACCTAAAAGACAACGCTGGACGTGGGGGCTCACACCTATAATCCCAGCACTCTGGGAGGCTGAGGCAGGGGAAATCACAAGTTGGAGTCCAGCCTGTACAACTTAGTGACTCAGCAAAACCTGGCCTCAAAAAATTAACAAGGAGCCGGGGATATAGCTCCGTGCAAAGGTCCTGTGTTCAGTCCCCAATACTGCAAAAGATAAAAAGAGAGCCGGGCGGGGTAGCTCATGCCTGTAATCCCAGCACTCGGGAGGCTGAGGCAGGAGGATCATTGTGAGTTTGAAACCAGCCTGGGCTACAAAGTGAGCTCAAGGCCAGCCTGAACTGCATAGAGAGGCCCTGTCTCAAAAATAAATAAATAAGAAAAATAATAAAAAAGAAAAAAGAAGGCATGATCTGATAGATCAAAGGAATATGCATTTTGGAGAAATTGAAATCTCCACTTAAGAGTTTACACTGTACCCTCCAGGTCCGTGGTTTTCACATGAAAACAGACCGTTTTATTAAACACAAGCCTGTGTATTTTTGACTACACAAAGTGAAGAGCTCTTGTTTTATTTTTTGTTTTGTTTTGTTTTTTTGGTACCGGAGGTTGAACTCACAACCTCACACTTGCCTGGCAAGCACTTGAGCCGCAGAGCTAAATCCCCGGCCAAGAGCTATTGTTTACAAGTGAGATGGGGAGCCTGTACCCTGGTCCTGGGGCCGCTGTGATGCAGACACGACTGTGGGCCCTCCTGAAGGCTGTAGAATTATGCTGCAAGGATGCCCCACAACTGGTTCTGAAATTCAGCGCTGTGCGTTAAACATCTCCCCTAAGAGGATGCGCAAAGACAGGCCCGTGAGCGAGAGAGAGAGAGAGAGAGAGAGAGAGAGAGAGAGAGAGAGAGAGAGGATGAGGATTTCAGGAAGAAGCTGGCGTGGTGGTGCACGCTTTTAATCCTGGTGCTTGGGAGGCTGTGAATTTGTGGCCACCCTGAGTTACAGAGTGAGCTCAAACTCAGCCTGAATGACACAGTGAGACTTTGTCTGAAAGCAAACAAAAAAGGATTAAAATAAAAGAAAATCGCCGTCTGCCAGTACTAGGAAGTAGTAAAGGACATTGTGCCGGACACTTACGTGATTCTGTGTTTTGGTTTTTTGCTTTTGTTTTTGAGATAGGTTCTCACTATGTTACCCAAGTTGGTCTCAAATTTGTGGGCTCACACAACTGGACCTCCTCCCTCAGCCTGCCAAGTAGCTGAACTCTAGGTGCTTGTCATCTGGGATTTGTGGCGAGAACTCTGGCCACCACACGCACAATTTTCCATGCAGGAAGTGGGCAGGAGTGGAACAGGTGCGAGGAAAGGGACCAATGGAGAGAGAGTCCTAAGCATTAAGGTGACAGCGGCCTGAAACAGACCATGGTGAGGGGACAATGCGGCAGAGTCGGTAAATGGCTTTGCCACTCACCAGTGCAACCTCCAAACCCTTCTGACCTCAGTCACCTGCTCTGGGGGCCGAAGGGAAGACCCCAGTGGGGAGTGGGTTTGCCCACTATTGAGAGTCAATGTGGGACCCGCACCTGGGGCCTCTGGTTGCAAAAAAGCCCTGTAGTAGCCAGTGAACCACCCACCTCCAGGTTCCCGAAAGGAGGGTTAGAGTACCCCACCCCATTCCCTGCCTCCTCGGGCTAGTCATTTACAGAGTTGCCTTTTGAACCACAGAGGTTGGGCACCCTCAGTTTTGCATTGCACGGGAAGGGGGCTGGCCAGGGGAGGGTGGGAAGAACAGAGCTGGGAGGAGAGGAGCAGGTGCAGGGCAGCTGTGAGTGAAAGGTATGAAAACAGGCACCATGTCTTCCTCTGTGGTTAGCGGTAAACAACCTGAGCTCTGGGGCGATGGTGGGAGGTGATGGAGAGGAGGGCAGGGGGGAGGAGGGAACTTCCGGGAGGCACCACAGGCCCGCCCCCTTTGCTCAGAGCTGCCTTCCTCCCTCCCCTCTGCCTGGTCTCCTTCACTTCCTCTGCCTCTCTTTTCTGTTTCTGGGCTTTCTGCTTCCTGTCCGCCTTGGCCTGGGGAAATCTGCAAAGGACGGGAAGTAGTCCTGGGAGCTGTGCCTGCAAAGCCTCCCCAAAGCCTTTAGAAGAATCCCAGGCACCCTGCTCTGTGGAGCAAGTGTTAGCTCTAGAGAGAGGCAAAAGTGATCTTTAACAAGACGCCTCGCTGTCCATCCCTTGAGCTGGTTGCATGGATCACAGCAGGTGGGAGAGATCATGACCACAGTGTCAGCATTAATGATGTCAGTGAGCACTAGGGGGACAAATTAAGAGGGAGCCTGCAGGCTATATCAGCACCCCCTGCCCCTTTCCTGCAGCCCAGTCCTAGGTTTGATGGATTGGTGCTCTGTTCAGAATTAGAGCAGATGGCCCTCGTCCCCACCAGATCCAGTCCCCAAGCCTGCAGTCGTCTGTGCCTGCAGACGGCGTAAGACACAGGCACACAGCCTGTCGGTTTGCAAGCATGCCCACGCCGCACACCTCCCTCCCGCCATCCTCATCACTGTGCTGTGAAGAATTAGTGCCTTTCACAAAGGCAAAGCTGAGGTTGCAGGCTGGGATGCAGAACACTTTTCTAGCCCACAAGAGGCCCTGGTTTGAGTCTCAGCATCCCACAAAAGAGAAGAGAAAGAAAATTAGAAAAGACAAAATGATTTATTCCAGGGAACACCACGGAAATTTCAAATACAGAGAGTGGAACACACTGGAGTGCTGTTAGCCTGGGGGATAGAAAAATCTAGATGGGAGGCGGGGTTCCTCAGTTCTCATACTCCTGTCTCCTGTCCGTGCAGTACAAGGAACTGGCCAGCTACAATGACAGCACAGAGAGCCCTTTCCTCGAGAGCCACTTCTGTTCCACAGCCGAAGGGCCCCTCCTGACCTCCTTCAAGGCCGTGTTCATGCCAGTGGCCTACAGCTTCATCTTCCTCCTGGGCATGATGGGCAACATCCTGGTGCTGGTGATCCTGGAGCGGCACCGGCAGACACGCAGCTCCACCGAGACCTTTCTGTTCCACTTGGCGGTGGCTGACCTCCTCCTGGTCTTCATCCTGCCCTTTGCTGTGGCTGAGGGCTCGGTGGGCTGGGTCCTGGGGACCTTCCTGTGCAAGACTGTGATTGCCCTGCACAAGATCAACTTCTACTGCAGCAGTCTGCTGCTGGCCTGCATCGCCGTGGACCGCTACCTGGCCATCGTCCATGCTGTCCACGCCTACCGCCACCGCCGCCTCCTCTCCATCCACATCACCTGCGCGGCCATCTGGCTGGCGGGCTTCCTCTTTGCATTGCCAGAGATCCTCTTCGCCAAGGTCAGCCAACCCCATCACAACGACTCTCTGCCACGCTGCACCTTCTCCCAAGAGAATCAAGCCGAAACCAATGCCTGGTTCACCTCCCGCTTCCTGTACCATGTTGGGGGCTTCCTGCTGCCGATGCTGGTGATGGGCTGGTGCTACGTAGGGGTGATTCACAGACTTTGCCAGGCCCAGCGGCGCCCTCAACGGCAGAAGGCAGTCAGGGTGGCCATCCTGGTGACCAGCATCTTCTTTCTCTGCTGGTCACCCTACCATATTGTCATCTTCCTGGACACCCTGGCAAGGCTGAAGGCCGTGGACAATAGCTGCGAGCTGAACGGCTACCTCCCCGTGGCTATCACCATGTGTGAGTTCCTGGGCCTGGCTCACTGCTGCCTCAATCCCATGCTCTACACCTTCGCTGGCGTGAAGTTTCGCAGTGACCTCTCTCGGCTTCTGACCAAGCTGGGCTGTGCTGGCCCTGCCACCCTGTGCCAGCTCCTCCCAAGCTGGCGCAGGAACAGTCTCTCCGAATCAGAGAATGCCACCTCTCTCACCACCTTCTAGACCCCGATGCCCCCCTTTATTTCTGCTTCCCTTGGGGCATTCGGGAATGCAGACCATGGAGGTCAGTGTCCCGTGGGGCAGTGAGATGAACCAGCTCCCCTTAAGGATGTCTCTGCAGCTCTTCTGATGGCCTTGGGGCTGGGCTGAAGCCCAACGAGGGAAAGGAGCCAAAAGGCAAAGCAAAGGCTGTCTGTACCCCATCTGCATCTCCCTGAGCCGAGAGGACCCCACCCACCTTCAGCCAGCCTCACCAGCCAAAGCACAAGAACCAACTTTTACTTCTACCTTGGCTAAGGAGGAAAGCCAGTCCCCCACCAGAACGCACGGCATCACCTTTGGGCTGTTCACTGCCACAGCTGCCCACCTTGCCTCCGATGCCATTTGCTGAACCAAGCCAGGAGAAGCTGGGCGCCACAGGATGAGCCAAGATGAAGGCCAAGGAACAGCCAGCTGGCAGCCGTGTGGTCTTAATGCATCTCGGGCCCTTAAACTCAGACATTCTGCCAGGACCCCAGCCCTTCAGCCATCTTAACCGAGTAGGAAGGTTGGATTGATTCACTTTAAGTAGCTGCCTTGGCTGTGACCAAGCACTAGGTCAGCCCAGTGTCACTACTGACCTAGTAACATGGGCTGCAGAGTGAGAACAGACTCTAAGTACCCACAGAGGGCTGCCAGTGCCCTGGTCGGGAAGAACTAGGAGAGGACTCCAGTGGAGGAGTGGAACATCTCCTTCCCCGGCCCCCAGAGGGAACACTCATCAAACTCTGCCCAGGGCCTAGGTGGAGGCGGTGGAGAGTTCCCAGGATGGATGTTAAGACGCGGAATCCAGGGCCCTGGTGGGTTCTGGGTACTGACAGAGGGGAGGATATACCTGGCACCTTTTCCACAGTCTACAAGGCCTATAAAAACTGAAGAGCAGAGGGGTGCAGGCCGCAGCAGAAGGCACACTTAGCTAAAAATCAGAATGGATTAAAACCCGCCAGGGAGAAAGACACAGTGAAGAGGTTCCTGTGGAAGGCCTCCCGTCCAGCCCCCCACCCCCCACGTCACCTGAGGTAGGACAGTGTGAAAACTAAACTGGGCAGGGAATTCCCCAGACCCCAGGAAGCCCGCCCGGCCCTAGAGGATACCACTCAGATGGAACCGGAGGAAGCTGCTCCATGCTTAGGGAGGCCTGTCAGTCACTTCCGGGCCCTCCTTCCCCATCTCAGCCTAGACCGGGGTGTGGGTCAGAGCCCCTGTACCTGCTGAGGGCCCATCTGGGCTCCCTACTCCTCAAGCCCATCAACCAAACTCCTTGGGGAGATCAGGGCTGTGACCCCAGAGGAGACCATGCCCTTACTGTGAAATGACGGGGAAGCCCTGTGATCCCCTTTTTTCCTCTCTGGCACTTTAATAAGCAAGCTGGGTAGTGGAGAAACCAGACACAGAAGCAAGAAAGCCACAGGTTGGATTTTGAATTTTCTTTTTAATAAAAAGGCACCTATAAAACAGGTCAATACAGTACAGGCAGCACAGAGACCCCCCGGAACAAGCCTAAAAATTGTTTCAAAATAAAAACCAAGATGTCTTCACATATTGTATTTATATATTTATATTTATATATATATATTTATATAATGGTACAAAATGGCTGGGGGTATGGCCGTGGATGGAGGAGAAAGGCTGGCCGGTAGAGCTCACCTGGGTAAACTAGTGGCGGCGATGGGAGCAGAGGGGACCAGGAGGCCGCAGGCCCTTTGTGGTCTAGGCCCGCTCCTGGGGCAGGGAACACTTAGACAGTTTGAGCAGTCTCGGGGCGGGGGCAGGGCTTGGGGGCACAGGACCCCGGGCAGAGGCGGGCAGCCTGGCAGGATGGAAGGCAAGTGCTCCCCCAACAGAGACCCTGCCACGGCCCCGAGGGCACTGGGGGAGTCAGGAGCCCACAGCCAGCCCAACAGGAGGAAGTGGCGCTTAGCCTGGCTGACTTGGACCAAGAGGTCAGCACCAGACTGGGAGAAGTGGGCACAAATTCCCTTTGTATCACAGCTGCCAAGGTGAGACCAGGCCCTGCAGACAGGAGGGCTGGGAACGGGATTCTGGTAGAAGACACCCTGTCTAGAGTGGCCCTTGGCCCTACAGGCGGGGCACAAGAGGGCTGGGGCAGCTGCCCCGCCACCTCACAGGGCAGGAAAGGAAGTGAGAAAAAAGAGGTTTCTTACTGCTAGGGCCAGTGGGGTCCAAACACCCAGTCCCTTATGGCTTCAGCTCTGGCCAGTGGCAGGTGAGGAGCCCTCCAGGGAAAGGAGGAGGGGCCTGAGGGGAAAGCAGTGGCTGCACCTGGGCGAGCACAGACAGATGGCACACAGCCCTGAGCCCTGGGCAGAGGGACCCAGCCAGCGAGGGGGCAGGCAGGGAAGAGCGGCCAGGAAGTTCCAGCCCCTTGGTGCTTCCTCGGCTCCATCCTGAGGGTTGCGGGCTGGAGGAGGTGGACTAACCCAGCCGAACCCTGCTCCTTCCTTCTTTGGTAAGAAGTAGGTGGCCGCCTCTGGAAGAGCCGGAGCCCCTGGCCATTTCCTGGTCCAGGGCTAGGGCAGCCGGGCTCCTGCACCATCAGGCCCTCCCTGGCTCCGCTCAGACTCTGCCTCTTCCTCTTTTCCTTCATCCCACACTGGAGACAAAGGGCTTCAAGTTCTGGCTAAGACATAGCAGCAGGGGCACCCAGACCTCTCCAGCGGGAAGCCACCACCCAGTGTGACTGGTGTGATGAACACGTGTACACGTTCCTCAGGAGTCACTCAGCAGCAGGCAGGCCACTGCCCTGGCGGGGGGGGGGGGTGGTGTCTCAGCCTTGCTGGGCTCACAGGTGGAAGCCTTGGTGGCCTGACCTCAGCTTAGGTGTGGGGCACCTATGTCATCTTACCACTTGGAGAGGGTACAGAAATGGTGTCCTCTATGGACTCAGAGACACTGCACAGTGGGTGGGTGGGTAAGACCGAATGTCCCTGGGTCCACGGGAATGAAGGGGGCAATCATCTGGAGAGAGGGAAGGGTTTCATTTATCTTTTTTTCTATGACTTCTATCAAAACACAGAAATACAGCACACGCACAAACCGGCACGAAAGCGCAGGGCTCTATTTACAGCTCTGGCTGGCACCTGCCCACCTGGCCAGCCGCCTGCAAGGGGTGTTGGGAGAGGGTCAGCCACGTCGGCAGCAAGAGGGAATGAGACAGGAGAAAACAGAAGGGAAAACGGGTAGGAGCACAGGAAGGAGAGAACAGGAGCTCGGAGTTCAAGCGATGGGGAGACAGCGGCAGGAAGGGTCTAGGGGACACCTTCTTCTCTCCCCCCAGGACCCAGAGCATAGCTAGAGAGAGGCGGGAGCTGCAGAGAAGAGAAAGGGGGAAAGAGTCTCCATAGGAACAGGGAGGGCAGGGAAGGGGTATACTGGTGGCCAAAATGGAACAAACCCCAACCCTGAACCCCCCACCCCACTCTGCCACTTCCCCCTAAGATGCCAGCACATCTGGTTTCCACAAATGCCACTTCCCACACCAGCCCTCCCACCCCTCCAACCCACCCCTGGACCCAGGCCGTCCCAAACTCTCGTAAGGTTAGCAGGTTTGCAGCGGTGCCCTGCTCGAGCCCCCTCAGAAGCTGCTAAAAGGGCAAGTTGGCCATGCTGCCCGGCGCCGGGAGGTAGCCCATCTGGCTGTCCAGAGACACGCTGCGCTGCCGCAGCGGGTGGGACACCATCAGGTTCTGCTGGGATGGGGGGCCCATGAGAGAGCCCTGTGGGGAGAGCATGTGGGGGGGCTGGCTGTAGACCTCACCCCCCACACCCCGCTGCTTCATCAGCATGAAATTCTGCTGGGTCATGAGGCCTTGTGGTGGGGACATGACTCCCTGGTGCAGGCCGTGGGGCACCATGCCCTGTTGTGGGGGCACACCTGTCCTGCCCAGCAAGGACATCTGTCCAGGGTGGCACATGGACATGTTGAGCCCCCGCTGGACGCCCTGCTGGCCTGGCAGGTTGGGGGGCCGAGAGGGGGTCTGCTCCGCCATCATGTTCTGCAGGTTCATGAGATGCAGGTTGGGGGGCTGGGCCTTGGGGGGCTGGTTCTCGCTCTTGGGGAAGTACTGGAGGGTGCTGCTTGGCTTCTCAGAGGGGATGATCCTTGATAAGTCAAACTCGGGGATCCCGGTCGGGGTAGGTCGGATCACCTCGCTCAGCTCTGGGTCGTTCAGCACTGATGCTACCCCAGGGAGCACCCCAGGCGGGTACGCGTCACCCATGCGCCCAGCCATGCCTTTGCCCATCAGGTGCTGCTGGGGGGGCATGGGGCCTGGGGGCTGGCTGGGCATGTCCTCTGGGGGCAGGGGTATGCCTGAAGGGTAGTGCTGCTGCAGGCCAGGCCCCCCACCACCACCTCCAGCAGGGGTCATGGCACCATGGGGCTGCTGCAGCCGAGGTGGGAAGGGCATCATCTGGGAAGAGCTGGGCACAGGGCCACAGGGGGCATTCAGGGAGTCTGGGCCCCCTGGGGCCAACATCATTGAGTTCTGAGGAGGCCCTCCTGCCCCCTGTGCATTAGGGTGTAGTGGAATGTTGGAGCCCAGGGGAGTAGGGGAGGGCAACATGGTAGGGGGGGGCTCATGGGACAGGGGCTGCTGGCCTGGAAGGTTCATGCCCATGGGACTCTGGGCAGCTGCGGAGTTCAGGTGCATCTGGTTGGGCTGGTTGTTGCTGATACCTGCGAGGAGAGGACAGAGGCATCAGGTGCTGGGTGCACTCAGCCTGGGAGGTGGGAACCATCCCCCCCACTCCCACCAGGTGGTGCTAGGGCGCCAGCTCTCACCACCACCACCCTTAGCTTTGAGGGCAGGGACTTTTGAGCCAGAAGCCAAGAACCCACATTCTGGCAGTTTGCTATGGGTGTGTAAGGGACCCTGAAAAGACCATTCAAGTGCTGACTGGGTTTTGTGGACACAGGTCCTAGACCTCACACCCCATTCCCGATGCCCTGGGGAAGCATGGAAAAGCTAGGGTGACCACAGGGCTGTTGTTGGCCGTGGGTGCCCCTTCCCATTTCCGGTGCCCCCTGCCTGTCCTCACACCTGGCCCTGAGCCCTGCGGTGGCGGTGGGGGAGGCAGCAGGGGCCGGTCAGGCAGCAGCTCGTCATCTGAGGTGGCGATGGTCTTGATGGCATTGTGGTAGAGCGGGGTAGAGCTGGGCATGGCGTACTTGGACATCTGGGACATCATCAGTGACAGGGGGTTCTGGGAAGGCGTGGGGTCAGGGGAGGAGGTGAACGGTAGGCTGGGGTTCATGAGGCTGCTGGGAGGATTGGCAGGAGGTGCTGAGGAGCTGTTCCGGGGACCGCTGGCTGGGAGGGCACCTACAGAAACCAAGGAGACAGAAAGAAAACAGGGGTGACTGGGGAGGGACAGTGTGGCTGCTCATATTGGGGCATCTAGAAAGGGGCCCAACCCAGATCTCCAACCAACTCAGATTCCTCCAGGAACACCCCATTCCCCCACCCCCATGTTCACCACAGCCGCCCTGCAGTCTCAGGACCGCAGGCAGAGGGGAGATCCCAAGTTCAAGTGTGGGATGCAGGCCGACACACCCACCAGCCCGAGCTACCCCTAAGGAAATCCAGCCAGCTGACCCCACCTGTCCCACCAGACACACCCAACCCCAGTCCAGCACCCACGTGCCCACCCAGCCTACTCACCCTGCTCCATGTTGCCCATAGTAGAAGAGTTCATACTGAGAGGCGGCTGCTTATTCTGGGAGACCCCAGGGCTGGGCATGGCTGTCTTGGGAGAGGCAGCCCAGCCCGGAGAGGGCACCGCCATGGAGGGAGACTTGAGTCTGCTGGGTGAACCGGTGGGTGAGCGCACATTGAGGGAGGAACTGAGAACCTGGGGTGACTTGAGAGGTCCTGGAGGGTTGGCAGAAGGCAAGGGAACCATCTGCGATGGAGTCTGGGGCGACTTGAGGTTGGCAGAGGGTGAGGTGACCAGGGGTGAGTGCACCTGGTTAAGGGTTGGTGACTTCAGGTGCCCCATGCCCGGTGAGCCCATCTGATTAATACTGATGGTGAGGTCTGAAGGCCGTCTGCCCAGTCCCCGGTTTGGGGCTGAATGCACAGACCCAGGAGGATTAGACGCAGCTGGCAGAGGCATGTGGCTGAGCCGGGTGGTGCCCACAGAACCCATGGGTATCGAGCCCTGGTCAGGGCTGAACATGTCTTGGGCATTGCCCATGTCCTGAGGCATGGCTTGGTAGGGTCCTTGGCCCCCCGAGAATCCCTGCTGGCCCTGGTTGGGAAACTGAGAAGGCATAAGCATCTTCTGAGGGCCACTCATCATGCCGCTGCTGTTCTGGGCCCGAACGCGTGCCATCTCCTCAGGACTGAGGCCCTGCGGTCCCATCATGTCGCCAGGGCCCCGCATCTTCTGTGACATCAGCATCTGCTGCTGCGGGGTCATCTGCACATTCAGGTTCATGTTCATGTTCATGTTCACATTCATGTTCATGTTGAGGTTGCCTGGCCCCATAGGTGCATCCACCTCCCTCAGCCCAGACTGCCCCATGGGAGGGCTCAGGAGGCCCCGGCCACCACCAAACTCCATGCCCATGGGAGTCCCTGCCAGGCCTTCGCCACCAGCCATCTGCCCAGGGAACATGGTGGGATCCATCTGTCGGTGTGCCTGCATCATCCGCTCCATCTCCATGCTCTGCCCCATGCTGCTGCCCGCCATGCCCAGGGGGCGCTGCATGCCCATGGATCGCTTCTCTAGCAGCTGGTGTCGCAGCAACTCCTCCCGGACCCGTGGGGTCATGAATCGCTCTGCCTCACCCTGCCCACCTGGGTAGGGCACAGCATTCTGGGCAAAATTGCTAGGGCCCCCCATGGGGGGCAAGTCTTCTGTCCAGCCCATGCCTGGCCTCACAGGCCTCTGCATGGCATTCATGGGCACCTCCATTGGCATACTCTGCATGCCCCCAAACCCAGGTACCCGCTGCATCTGGTTGCCTGGGAAGCGGGGGCCAGGGAAAGGAGGTCCACCCCGGAGCTGCATGGCATCTTGGACATCCATGGGCCCCCGCAACTGCGCGCCCATTCCGGGTGGCCACTGATCCCCAGGCTTGCTGTGGTAGGGAGGCGGGGGCCCCCTCACCATCATGCCACCCATGCCCATCATGTCCTGCAGAGGGCGGCCCCCGTGCAGCCCAATCTGCTCCTCTTTCCGGCGCTTCTCCTCATAGTACTCCTCCTGCAGCTTGCGCCAGGCCACCTGCTCGGGCGTCAGGCTGTCCTGGCCCAGCCTTTGCATCATCATATTCATCTGCTGCCCCATGTCCCCTCCCGGGGGGTGCCCAGGCACTTCATGCTCCAGCGGGGGCCCCCCTAGGCTCTGCGTCTGTGAAATCATGGACTGCAAGGGTTCCTCGTACTTCTTCAGCCCACCGGGAGGAGCCGTGGGAGGCTGCTGAGAGGCAGATGGAGCTTGTGCTGGTGGGCCCCCCTCGCCTGCTCCTCCAGGGGGCCCCTTGAGGAAGGGTTCCGTCTCCCCACTGCGAAGTAGCAGCCGTTCAATGTCTCGAAGCGTCTGGAGGGAACGCTCCCGGTGCTCCAGCTGCTCTTTGGACAGGCCTTCAGAGCCCACCAGGTTGCGCTGCCCATTTCCTGTAGGGGTGGCCTCCCCCAGCAGCCCAGGGCCAGAGGCACTACCAGGGTCTCCTCCAGGAGGCAGAGGGTTGTTAGCAGTGGCAGCCGTTGGGGTATTAGGGTGGGTGCCCCCAGTCCCACCACCTGTGCTGGCAGCGCCCACCGAGTTGGGGGCCAGGTCCTGACTGGTGTCCTCAGGAGGCCCTTCCGGGGGTAGTGCAGGGGGGGCACTGCCAGGGGCAGGGGCCGGTGGTGGAGGCAGTGGAGGTGGCTGGGACTGCGGCGTGCCTGCGGATGGTGTGCTCAGGGGTAGCGGTTCTGGGGTGGGTGGCACTTTGGGAGCCTGCAGGAAGACAAAGGCAGAACATGAGACTGCTAAGGGGACTTCCCAACCCAGCTCAGAGCCAGATGCGGACCACCCTACTCACCTGGTCCAGCTTGGCCCGGGGCACATTCTGCTGGTGATAGGCGAGGATGGAGTCCGCCCGGCCCTGCAGCACTGCATCCGCAGCCCTGCACCGAGGACCAGGCAAGGACAGCTCAGAGAGGCGGGCAGGAAGGAGCCCCAGCCTCACCCACCCTACCCTGTCCCCTGCTCATATTCACCCCTGAGGGGCACCGGGAAGACAGAGCCACCTAGCCTCTCCCAAGGCACTTACGTGTTGGCCAGGTGGGTGGTGAAGACATACACAAACTGTGAGGGGGGCTTTCCAGAGACACCTCCGGCCCCAGCCCCGGGGCCATCAGGCCGAAGCCCCGGCGGGGGCCCATGTTGGG